GTGGATTCAAAGTAGTGCAGATTGTATTGTCTCACCCATTAATTGGACCAGTGTCCAGGGTTATTTCATTTACATGTTCTAAGTCCAGCTCCACAATCAAGCTTTTAGACTCCACATTCATCTGGTTTATATATGGGGCTCCCACAAGAGCTTTTGTTAAAAAAAAAAAAAAAGTGGTTAAAAGACATGTTGGAAACCATTATCCTAAGAAGACTGCTGGACAGATCCAGTGGAATCCATAAGCTTCACATATGAGAGTGTGTTCTTCTAGTCAAGGAGGATTGGCTAAGGAGTCTTTCTATAGACAGGAAACTGACATAGAGATGAAGCTCCTTGCCCAAAACAAAAGAAATAATAAAAGTAAAATTAGGGCCCCCTCAGTGGCTCAGTTGGTTAAACATCTCTTAGTTTCGGCTCAGATCATGATCTCACAGTTTGTGAGATCAAGCCCTGCTTGGGATTCTGTCTCTCCCTCTCTCTCTGCCTCTACCCTGCATTCTCTCTCTCTCTCTAAATCACTAAAGAAATATTAGGGGCGCCTGGGTGACTCAGTCGGTTAAGCTTCCTATTTCAGCTCAGCTCATGATCTCACGGTTCGTGAGTTCGAGCCCAGTGTCGGGCTCTGTGCTGACAGCTCAGCGCCTGGAGCCTGCTTCAGATTCTGTGTCTCCCTCTCTCTCTGCCCCTCCCCCGCTCACACTCTGTCACTCTGTCTCTGAAAAATAAATAAAACATTTAAAAAAATTTTTTAAAAAGAAACATAAAAAAAATTAAAAGCAGAAATTAGAATCTCTTGGTTCTCCAACTAGGGTTCTTTGGGGAGATAATAATGCTTCCTACCTTACCAAAATCTGGTAAAATTTCATCCCTTAAACTAAGCAACCAACATTTACTGAGCACTTACAATGTTACTGACTCCTTTCTAGGTTCTTGGGTTACAAAAATGAGTAAAAGTCCTTGCTGTACAGAAGGAATAGGGAAAACATTAAGAAGTAAACAAATTAATAATCTAATGTCAAAGTTAAGCTTTGTTCTGGTTTTCTCTGAGTCATCTTCCAGGTATACCAGATCACAGGTTACCTGTCTGATCACAGGTTACCTGTCTCATCTGTACCCATTCCAAAGTTGCATTTTTATCTCCCTTAGCTGCTGTTTGCCTGATTTTGTCCTTTCCTGTTTGGGTGCAGGTTTAACTCTCTAAGCCTTAGGTCAAAACTGTTTTCCTCATGGTCATTGAATTCTGAATCCTGCCTTTTGGAAATTCCACATTAGTCTTTCCCTAGATTCCACCCTGCAATCTATCCATCCTTTAATCATCTATTCAACTAAGCTATAGACTTAGGTTTTCCACGTCCATCATTCTTTTTAACTCCTCTTCATTTTTTCTCTTTCTCTCTCTCTCTCTTTCTCTCTCTTTCTCTCTCTTCCCTTGGAAGAATCTCAGCAAAGGTGAATTACTTCATTTTTTATTCTGATTCTGCTCTTTTTTGCCATGTTTTTCTCCCTTAAATTCATAAATCCCTGTCTTTCTTCACAACTCTACTTATATGTTATTTCTCTCCTCTTCACACATCATCATGAAATACTTCTCTCAAAGAGAGGCATATCTGCAAAGTACTGTTTAACCTTGAACAATTACAAGTGATCTTTCCTGACTAGAGGCAGATTCGGTACAGTCCAGATCTGCTATAAAGTTGCACATGAGAAATTTGTTATAGTCCACAATAATGCAAGAGTATTTAAAATTATAGACATGTATTTAAAATTATAGACATGTCCAATTAATAGGAGAAAGGAAAGGACTTTGTTTCTTGGCTAAACCCCTCTGTCATTTCCGAACATTCACTCTCAGATCCATGTCCTTACTATTTTCATTCGCTTTAGTTGGTCGTGGGACAATCGTAAAAGCAGTGTGTGGGGCTTTGAAACCATGGGGCTCCCCTTTCCTACAGCAAAATGTGCAGCCTCATTCACCTTCCGGGGGACAGTTCTCCCACAGCCTCTAATGCTCCTCATGGTAATGATACTGTTGAGCGAAAACCTAGCAACTTATACTTTATAACATATCAAATGACATCAAATATATGACATGGATAGAACAAGCCAATTAACTGCCTAATCACCCCATATTCACCTTCATAGAGAAGCTGGCTTCTCACTGTGCGCAGCTCTCACATTTAGAATTAATGAGTAGGACTTTCATCTGAAGAAGAGATCTGACTTTTAATTCTGGCACTCACACATCTTTTCTCTCAGAGGCCAAATCATAGGGCTACCATTAATAGCAGACTTTAAAAAATCAATGTATGTCTATGATTTCCTTCTTAAAAAAAAAAAGCAGGATCTAGTTAAGCAAAACTGCGTTAATTTCATGAGTACACACAGTACATTTCAAAAGTCCTGCCTTTCAGCCCAGGAAATAAGACTCATCCAAGATTCTGGTAGTAATATTTTTAATTAAAGGAGAATACAAATCAAAAGTTCTTTTTCTTTCACCTACTTCCCCTTCCTGAATTTCTTCATTATATAACTTTGTATCCAAGCTAGCAATCTGGGAGACAACTTTAGTTTCTTCTTCTTGATTTCTCAGCACAATCATATTGGTGCTTCTTGCTATAATAGGGCCCTATATTCTAGTCCTAGTTGAGGGTTTTGTTCGTTTACTTAAAGTTTGTAGGGAATCACTGAAAGAAGATACAATTACACTCATTTTAATATAGACAATGGGTTGGAGAGATCAAGACTTAAAGTAGGGAAACATCCTGAGGCTGTTTTGGGGTCCTGATGAGAAAGACAGAGTCCTGTACTAAGGCAGTGGAGAAGGGTGGACATGTCTGAAAAGATACCAAACACAGATAGAATTGGAGTCCTGGAGACTAGATGTTGGGTACGAGGAAGTGCACAGAATCAAGGATGATTTGGGTTTCCCTTTGGACAATTCATGGATAATTATGCAAGTCACTGACACAGGAATGCAAGGAGTTGGAGAGGGAAAATGATATACAGTATTCAGATTTGTTAATGTGGTCATGTAGAGAAGATGCAGTTTTTAAAAATCACAGAGTTCTATGCTTCCTTTGATTCATTGGACCACTAACACCCATCATTATCAATAATAATGATAATAATCATGTGTAAGTGATTATGTGAAGTGTGAGAGATAAAGATAGCTAAAACGTAATTCTTATCTGAAAGGGGTTTAGCATCAGGCAAGGTTGTCAGGTTATGTATATACCTAGATGAAAACGTATAGCTGGCATATAAAGTGCCGAAAGGATGGTTTGGGTAATAAATTTCCTAGGTACTCAGACCCTAATTTTCTAGCTGTATTTTCGCTTCCTGAGGAGCTCTAAGCTCCAGCTAAATTAAACTATTGTATTCCTTATTCTTCAGCTACCCCTAAATTTGCCTATCTTCATATCTTGTTTTCATTTGCTTTCACTGCCTATAGGTCTTGCTTTTCAAAATCCTATTCAGTCAAAATACAAATCCTGCCCTGGTTCCCCTATTCAGAAGCTCTCACCTTTATGAAGCTCTGTATTTGTACCATTTTTTGATCATTTTATCCATTTTATGTTATAGTTGTGTTAGCACACGTCTTGTATCATTCATACCTAGTGTATTGCACAGACACCCCAATGCTCAGTTTCTTGTAATGGGACCATGTCTCATCCAGCTCACCCATGTGTGTTTTTAATTTACTAGTGGACTTGGGGCACCTGGGTGGCGCAGTCGGTTAAGCGTCCGACTTCAGCCAGGTCACGATCTCACGGTCCGTGAGTTCGAGCCCCGCATCGGGCTCTGGGCTGATAGCTCGGAGCCTGGAGCCTGTTTCCGATTCTGTGTCTCCCTCTCTCTCTGCCCCTCCCCCATTCATGCTCTGTCTCTCTCTGTCCCAAAAATAAATAAATGTTGAAAAAAAAAATTAAAAAAAAAAATTTACTAGTGGACTTGAGGTAAACCACAAGCCATAAATAATAATCCACATATAGGATGACACTTGAAAATTATACTTTACATTCTCAGTTTCCTGTAGTACTGATATGTAAATGGAATACAACTTTTGCTCTTTGGGGAGCAAGTGTATTAGGTAGACAGTGCAGATAGTAACATACCTAGCAGAATATGTAAGTGTAAGATATATGATGTGATCATAGCCACGCACCCCTAGGTGAAATACAGTTTTCACGCAAATCCCACTGATAAAAATATACATATATACTTTTTTGCTCTTTTATTATCTTTCCTTGTGTAAAATTATCTGCAGTCATGAAAAACTGATATTTGTGACAGCAGCATGTTTCTGACGATTACATGCTTTTGGGTAGGAATGGTGAGCTGTTAGGTGACATACTCAATCCTTGCTGTGGAAGAAATTTATTTTTAATAGCAACTTGAAGCTTGTAGGAAATTTTGTAGGAAAGAAAAATATTTTGACATATTCTATCCTTGCTATTGAAGAAACTTATTCTTAATAGCAACTTGAAGCTTGTAGAAAATTCTGTAGGAAAGGAAAATACTCAAGGCTCTAAATAAGACTGCTTAAATAAAAGTTGCCTTAAATTACCTAGGTGATCCTTTACAAATCATTGATTGTATTTGTTCATGTCTAATGAAGTGATTTCTTTCTGGACGTTTCCATTGAAATTTTCAACAGTTCTACTGACACCACATGTTAACTGAAGCCCACATTGATTGCTCTTGATTTCTCTGAATCCTATATTTTGATCCTGATATGTAAAGGTGGCTCTGGAATTTCTTAATAGGAGGACTTTAGACAACAACCAGACACCAGTCCTTCCTGGCTGAAAGGAAGGGCAATGGAACATGCAACTGCATTTGCATCACAAGCATATTGTTTACTTACATGAATTTATTTAGAATGTCTTGGGACATGATCCTCTCCAAGTCAAACTGAAAGACAAGAAAAAGAAATTGACTGTAGTCAGTATTAAACCTATATTAATGTAAATGTCTTTGTTACTTTTATATTTTTCTAGGACTTAGAAGATCATCTTCAAAAACCAAAAATGAAGTTCACACTGACCCGCCGGTGCTTGGTACTCTTCATCTTCCTAAATGTAAGTAAAACATTATTTAAGCCACGTTAATCAAGAATGCTGACACAGAGCATGTGATTGAGTAGACACTCACACAGAGAGAGGTCTTACAAAAACTACATTCCACAAGCCAAAACTATCATTTCCTTGATACTTTGTTAACAGATCCCCCTCCCCCAACTTTCACAATTTAGATTTGTGTTATAGTTCACTGAAAAATGTGAGCTTTGTTTATAAAAATTTAGCGTTAACTTGAGACATCTCCACATTATCTTGGAAATTAACATCGAAGGCTAATAATGTCCTTCGATAAAATGTTTTTCATCTTAGACATGTGGATCTGAACCAATTTCTAGGCTTCTGTCTTTTTAAAACATCTGAACTCTTTCAGTCTGGCTATTGATTTTAAATGCATTTCTCATAAAAATTTTTTTTTAAAAAACTAAGAATCTTAGGTCTTAACATACCAATGTCATTCCATAACTCTTTCTCTAGCCTTGTAAATCATGCCCAATTTCTGTAATTTTATATTGGTTTTTTTTCCTAAATGGTTAGCAAGTAGTCAGAACTGCAATTATCTTAGAAAATACTACCAGTGCCTGCCTATTTATTTGTGTTAACTTTGTTAACTCCCCATCACATCAACTTCCATAGCACATGAAAGAGAGATGAGTAAATGTTACATAAACAAATTGGGAGTTGTATTGATCCTTATCCTGGCCAATGAATTATACCTGGCAATAAAATTCAGTCAATAACTGATCCTATTATGCTCAGGCAAACAAAACTAGTCCAGGGTTCCAGGATTTACATTGTTAATTAATGTGTCGTCATGGGCTTACAAGTTTGTATAAACTGTTTCTCTTAACATTATTCAGGGAAAAATATCACTAATATTCCATAAACATAAATCTTATTTTTAAGGAAATTTTTATTTTGTAATGTTATACATCAAATAAGTGGTTTATGGGTATGATTGTCAATGTAGTCCTTTTGCATCTACTTGGATATTAAGTATAGTCTATTTTATTATGTAAAAGTATCATGTTATAATCTTTAGATAAAATACAACATAATTTGCTAAAAGTAATCTGGTATTTGGAAATGCAGGTAACTTCATGCCATTGTAAATATAATAAAAACACTGGAACAAGAATATTGTAGAAATTATTAGCACATTTTATTTTGTCTGTAAATGCTCAAGCTTTATATGAGATTCTATAGCTACAGAAATATTGGTATATTCTATTCGTGATTGATATTGTTATTTTTATAACTTAAATCCTATGTGATCAGTTGTATGTAAATATCTCTAAATAATTTTATTTTATAAGGCATATAATTATATTAAACATTGACAGAAGAAAAACTAAAGTAACTTTAACTAGATATAAGACAGTTTGAGTGTTTCCACCTTTTCTATTATAAAGACTACAGATAATTTGTGGTGTGCTAAAAAACTAAAGTAGATCAATTCTATTTAAAACTTTTACAAAATTCAAAGATTAAAATAATTTCATATATTTGAGCCATGGGCAGAAATATTTTATGGTTTGTGGGCATCTCTTTACTAGTAAACATACTGTACAGGGCACTTAAGTGGCTTTGTGCTCTCTTTCCTGTGATAAACAGAAATTTGCTTCTCTGTCTTGTATTTGGATCATATATTTGATTTGGAGGATTCTTCCATAAAAAAAAAGTTTTGATATGTGAGTTTCCTTCTAAAACACACATTGTGTTCCACACTGATACTCCTTCAAGAAAAGTAAATTATTTTAAAAAGTGGTACTGATTTTAATTACTATAAAATATTACTTTTTTATACATTATTGTGAAAAATCACTGCCAGTATATTTGTTGAATTCTACCAACCTGATTTCTAAATGGTCTTTAAAGTATCAGTTTGGGTCACCACATTTCATGAGCCTCAATTTACATCAATCAAAACCACCTACTCATTTCCTCTCCCTTATCTGTAATAGTGCAATTGGCTTAGAATAGTGCTTGGCACATAGTGAGTTCTAAAAAAAAAGATAGTGATGATGATAATTATAGCAACAATGATGAAGACATAGAAAAACTAGATTCTTCTGAGAAGCATTCGTTGTTGGTAACTTATCTGTATTCCCCTATTTGCTTGGCATTTATCATTATGGAGCAGTTTTGTTGTTTAAATAATGCTTAAGTAGAAAAAACATAGGATACCAACCATCTGATCCTACCTGGAAGAACCAGGTTAACACTTTACAAAGCTCTGTTTTATCCTTTATTATTTTGAAAAGTATAAGTAACTGAAAACTACAAACAATTCCAACATGTACATTGTCAGTATTAAGGATGGTGATGTCAAAATCCTGCTCGTTATATCAAGTTGTGGATTCTGGAATCATGTTCCTTTTAGACAAATTCTGTCTGTGGCAATCAATAGGAATCTCTCCCTTCAGCACTGTAGCATGAGTTCCCATATTCATTACGTTTGAACCACTGCAGTGATGCACCATTTCTTAAAGCTCTACACAGAATGGTCCTGTAATTGTTTTGTCTCTGTGCTTCTAGAAACCAAGAAGTAGGAAGATTGTCTTACATCAAAGTAGGAATTGCTTGAGTACATGTCGACTCAAACCAGATTGCTTTCCACTGGACTCCATGATTAGTGTGCACCAAACCTCCTAGAATGTGAGCCCCATGGGGGCAGGGACCTTGCCAGTCTTGTTCACTGCTGAATCTCCAGTACCTAGAACAGTAACTGGCATGGGGGAAGCAAAGTATTTATTAACTGAAAGAACAACGGTGTTTCAGCTACGGACTGCAGGTATTGGTGGCAGCTTGGTGGTCGTATGTGTGGCGCCATTTACTTGAACCTTTAGGAGTGACATCACATATACGGCGGCTAAACTGCTGCATAGGACAACAATTAAGAGGTTGTTTTTTGTTTTGCTTTGGGAGAATCATATAAGATGGCTTGTATGAAAAACTTTGAACATGAATCCTTATCCAGAACATCAATGTGCCCTTAATATCTCATCTCTATCTTCATTTGAGCATAAAATATTTATGTGCCAAAATGTATAATATAAACATAATACTTATGATAACTAAAGTATTTTTAAGTGTTTCACATTGCTTGGTAGTCTTATCTAATCACTACTGCTTCTTTTTTGTCTCTATATTGCTGAAAATTATGCCACCTCACTAGCCATTTTTATTGGTACAAAATCACCAGCAAAACCTTTCTATGTTCATGAGCTTTATGAAGTTTGTATGTGTATTATTTTTAAGCAGTAGTAATTCCATTATTAGAATTATATATATAATCGTTATCTGTCTATATCTTCATATCCGTTATATATACATATATGACAGAATGCCTCAAATATATGTTATTTTCAGAAGAAAGTCACTGAAGCATTCAGTTACCACTGCAAACATTCTATAGTCATTGCTCACACACCAACCAGACAAGGAGTGGACTCAGATTACTATGTCTCATCTATGACAGAAGTTCTAATTTCTCATTCCTTCAGTGTTGAAACAATCTCTATGGAACCAGGCTCCAAACCAAGTTCACTGGAGTTTGTTTCAATATTGCAAGAATGGTAAGATTGATGTTCCTATCATCTACATGAAATACACATGCTCTTTCAGATGGTCATATCTACACTGTTATAGATGTTAAAACTTCATTAAAACAAATCATGCTGTAATTGAAAACACAAGTACCAGGCTTTCCTCTTGGTATCCTTGCACATAATGACTCCCCATGGCTTACAAGAATTTCCAACTAGTGCAGGAACATTTATTAATTGGTTGCCCAGTCCAGTAAAGATAGAATTCAGAATGTTACTTTTAGAAAGAATGCCAAACTTAAACAGGATGCTCCCTAACATCTAAAACATCTAGTATAAATGACAGAAAATATTTATATCGGACATCACATTCCAGCTTCTAATTTCATTTGAATACGGTGAGAAAATTACCCATAAATAAATAATATATCAAATGACAATTCGCACATCAATTAAAGATTCTAAGAATAGAGCTACAAAGAATCTAAAATAGATGCATAAGGTTAACCTATAATTGATATCTCTTATTGTGGAGATACAATGATCTATTAAAGACCACGGTTATGTGATCTTTAGTCAGATTGTTAAAACACACACAGCCACATGCATTCGTACAAATGTAGGCTAGTATAATCCACAATGAAGCCTTTAACGTGAAATCTATTAAAAATATGTATTTTTTACTCCCAAACCACATTCCAATTCCTGAAGGAATACTGAGCATTCAATTATTAATGATTCTTTACATTTCACAGTTCCTGGTGTCAGGAAATATTTTATGTTGATCTTTCTTGCTAGACTGTAAGCTCCATGAGGGCAGGATCTATGTTTATTTTACTCAGCACTAGCATAATGCTTGGCTGATAAAGTTCAATGACTATTTGCTGATTGGTTGATCTTAAAACCAGTAGGGAAGGATCATATGACAACAGAATGGTGTTCAACTATGTTGGTGAAGGATTTGTACATTTGAAATAATTTCTGTGAGTTCATTAATGTCTCTTTTTTTTCTGTCATACATTCAAGAAGCATTAAAATTAGAAACAATCCTAATATTTAAAGAGTAGTATCAACTATACCCACAGTAAGTGTCCATCTAGAGTTATCACAGTATGTAATAAGTATTCACCCTCTTCTGTTTGCAAGCAATTTCTACTCAGATGCCTTGCTGGCACCTTCAAAACAAGAACAAAAGAGAACTTACATTCTTCCCCCTAGTAACTTCTCCCTTCTCAGGTATTCCCATTCTTGTCCATTATGTAGGTTAAAATACCTGAGCTATTTGACTATTACTGTTCTCCGGTCCTTATATTCAAATATATGTTTTTATTATCTGAGAAAGTGCTGAGGGCTGTGCTTCCCTGTTCCCTCACGCAGTGCTCTAGTCCATGCCTTCAGCTTCCTGGCTCCCTCCCCAGCTCTGATCTGTGAACATCTGATGCCCAGCACATGAATTTTACTAACATTTTCCTTTCACAAACTTCACTGGTCAAAAGCCTACAGTACATCTTTAATTTATTGTCATGTTTTAATGATATTAGCTAAAATGTATTGAGCCTTTCATTGCACTAGGCACTTTGTATTTGTTTTCTCAGGGCTCTATATTATCTGATTTTCCTTGACTCCATTTCTTACTAACCCCCAAATATGCTTCTCTCCAGGAACAATGGTTTCCTTACTGTGTCTCATACGTGCCATTTCCTACCTTTGGGACCTATACGCATTCCTTTCCCTTCATTCAGAAAGCCTTCCTTCTCCTCTCTGCCTATGTAGACACTGCATATACTCAAAGTCCAGTTGAAATTCTACCTTGTATCTGTAATGGTCTGAATTTTTATTGTATTATGCATTGTACAATTTAGCATCTAGTGACATGCTATCTGTTAGGAAAGCATGCCGCATCCACACAATGACATACACTGGAAAACAGTGTGGTTACACTCCGAGTAGCCTGAGGTATACAGGTCAACTTAATAAAAATGAGTTTGTTTTAAAGACTGTGAGGAATAGAGAAAAGTATGCAACACTGTTTCTGGCATGAATACAGTTGGGGAAACTTCAATCTTAGAATAATTTAGACAGAATAAGGCCAAATAAAAAAATGTGTTTAACAGGTGTGATAGAAAGAGAGCAACTTCCTGGCTTCAGAAGAAGAAAAAGCCAGTGCAGGCTGAAGCTTGCAGTCTTCTCTGCACAAGTCTCTATGCAGAACATGGGTATAGAATCACAGATTCAAGCACCACCAAAAACATCATGGCCACAAAAGAAATTGAAATCTATATAAACATGACTTAGGATGATTTGTCAGTCTGTGATCATGACCAGTGACAGCCTGTACCAAAAGTGCAGAAGCACTAAGAGAAATATTTAAGATTTGCACTGATTTCCAGCAGTGAAAATAAATTATCCTGTGTAGGTCATCTGCTGAAGAAGCCTATTTAAAGATATTGAAGCCAATTATCCAATGCAGAGTTTGTTCTGTGACTACCTGGAGTGAATTTTTGGCAGTGCACGTAATCTAAGCACAAATAAAAATCAGCTGAAAGAATCTAATATAAAAGTTTGCTTATTGCACTAATATATCTATTTTTAATAACATGATGCATGATTATTAGAAGTTCCAAAGAAGGCAAAGTTGATTTAATACTGGTATTTTTTGGAAATCAGGTTATTTGTTTTGTTTACCTCTAAACTTAACAGTGATAACAAAATTAAAACAATCTTATATGATAAAGAGGTGCATGAGTTTGAGTGGTGGCTATACATTTTCAGTAGTGAATGGAAAGAATGCATATATGAAATCTGTAGGTAGAATTTGTAGATGAAATATAAATACACTTTTCAGTTATGAAGAAAAATATTCCACTTGGAGACCATATATAATTGTTGCTCATGGAAGGAAAATGTTTTCAAACTTTTTGACTGTCTCATTTATTTCTGTATACACTGGTTCCTGCTCTCTATAAGTGACTGATTTTTCTTTTTAATACAGCACCCAACCCCAATTCTTCCTGCCACTTCAAATGACACCTATCCTCCAAATATGAAGTCCGAGCCATTTCTCTACGTCCTAGGACGTAAGAAAATGACGGATGCGCAGTACAAATGCTATGACCGCATGCAGCAGTTACCCCCATACCAAGGAGAAGGTAAGAAGAAAGATGTATGCAAATGTGTTTCAAACAACATTAAAGGTTTTTTGCTTCAGTGGGTAAATATGTGTTGACTAGTTTTAATATGCCAGCAGTTTTAACGGTGGTTTTCAAACTATGGTATGCTTGTATATTTCATGCTGGACACATGCCTACTTTCTTTGCTCAAGTCCACCCAACTGGTTTTGGGCTAACATCTACACTTATGACAAAATTACTACAATAACTCAGTATTCACACCTGGCAAGGAGGGACAATGCAGGACGAAGTGATGGAGAAGAATTGGAAAATGATAGGAAGGGAATGGGAAATGGTGGGCAGAGAATTTGCCTCAGGTGAATCCTGTCAAAATCCTGTCTTGTTTTGGGTTAATTAGGCAGTATCTTCCCTTAACTGTCAATTCGTTGGCAACTAGTGCTATTCCTTCTCCTTTTCTAGCCCCAGTTCCCAGAGAAATTAGAAAAAATCTATCTCCTAGGCAGGCATTGTTTATCTGTCACCTTCTCTAGAATGCTCTATGTGACTGTTCAAATATTTTCAGGGCCAAGCCTATTCTCTTAGCCATAGAGGGCTATGTGATGACCAAGCATTACTACATCCATTTCAGTTCTCTTCCCTGTCCCCTAAAACATTTGAAAAGACCCAACAAGATCTTGTACACCCTTGTATATTCTAAGATAACACCGCTTGGTGTGTGTGTTGGGGGTGAGGGGGAATATCAGTTAACTATATTCTATTATTACACATGGTTTGCCTTTAAATAGTTAAATTTCTACTTAATTTCTACTTCCTATTTTTAGAATATTTCTTTTTTTTTTTTTTTAGAATATTTCTTTTAAAACAGAACTCAAGTAGAATAATAGATACATGTTATTCTTCAGTCTCCAGTAGTTTCAGTGTTTTTTAAGAAACTGAAAAGTCATTAGACGCAACTCTGCCCAAAGAAGAAATCATTTCTTCTGAAGCAAGTGAAACAATAGAAACACAACATTTATTTTCAGAGACCAAGCGAGAGCAGACTCCTTCATTCACTTCAGTCTTAATCATTTTGGGAGGCTGAACTTTTGTGCGATGATCATTCTTTTAAGATTTCTTTTCTTTTTTCTGTTTTTTTTTCTTTTTCTTTTTTCTTTTCCTTCCTTCTTTTCTTTCTTTCCTTCTTTCCTTTTTTCCTCCTTCCTTCCTTTTTTTTTTGTTCTTGGACTGCCTTCAAAGCCTGAGGCTTATTCTTTTGAATAGCTTTATAGAGGTCAATCTTCACATTTTAAGGTAGATTAAATTTTGAAAGCAGTGAGACACCACTAAGACCCAATGCTGATAAATACATAAACTACTCAAACTGAGCATTATTTTAGCTACTAACAAAGTGTGATTCTAAAATAATAAGACTAGATTTCTGTGTGACCTGTTAACTGTGTACAAATGCATCTCCCACAGGAATTTTGAACAATTGAATTTTAAACCCTTGGATTAAGAATAGAACTATTCAAGGCAACCCCTTTGAAGGTTAATGGCTAGTAGGATCCATATGTTACAAAAACATATAGTTTTTTCAAGGTAAGCCTCTGATCCAGGGGTGATACTGCATATACCTTTCACAAGATTTCTTTGCAGCATTTCTGGAGACATTTTCAAGGAAAGATTTTAGAGGAAAGATTCCATACAGATGACATGTATGTCTTTTGAGGAGCAAATGGAGAAAACCCTCTAAAAATGTAAACTCTACTAAGAGTTGGTAAAGTTAATATCTGTATTTTGTTGCTGTTGCTGTTCTTTTTAATATTTCCATATGCATGTCCAGAGCTCCAAAATAACCATCTATTAAATAGATAGATCCTGTTTAACACTGTCAAATCCCTGCTGATGATTCTGCAACTTTTTCCAAATACAGTATTAATTTCTTTCTGAATAATCAGGTCCGTATTGCAACCGTACCTGGGATGGATGGCTGTGCTGGGATGATACACCGGCTGGAGTACTGTCCCATCAATACTGCCCAGATTATTTTCCAGACTTTGATCCATCAGGTAAAATATTTCTTTTTATTTCACATTTTGCTTCGCTTTTAGAATTTTCATGGTTCTGAAAAGAAAATCAGATATAAAAGATATGTATCTAATCATACTCTGTGTGTTTCAGCATTTTCTGAAGAATTTTCTTACTTGAAATATTACCCAGTTGCACAAATATTACAAGCTCTCCTTATTTTTTAAGTCACATTACTGGTCAGTTGTGTACATTAGGTCTTAAATCCTAAATAAAAGTTAAATTTTTATATATTTTAAATATTTGTTATTAAATTTTAGTAAAATTTTAAATTAATTTTTTTAAACTGTGAAGTTTTGCTTAAATGTGGTTGTTCTTAAGTTTTCAATTGTGTCACATTTAGCAACTTATGCAAATGCTTGGTCTAGAGTTCGGGTCTACTGGGCTGATATAGCATGCACAATGGAAATTTTATATAACACTGAAAGTTATATAGGGGCATCTGATGGCTCAGTCGGTTAAGTGTCTGAGTTCTGCTCAGGTCATGATCTCACGGTTCGTGAGTTCAAGCCCCATGTCAGGCTCTGTGCTGACAGCTCAGAGCCTGGAGCCTGCTTCAGATTCTGTGTCTCCTTCTCTCTTTGCCCCTCCCCTGCTCTCGCTCTCTCTGTCTCAAAAATAAATAAACATTAAAAAAATTTTAAAAAAGAGAGTTATATAAAACTGTCATGTCTAAAGGAAAATAAACCAGAAGGTGGTAACTCTAGACATCTACTAGATTTCTGTTCCAACAGTAGATTATTAAAATATGTTCAGTAAATAAGACTAATGCTGTTATAATGGATCATACTAATACCCAGCTCCATGCCCTGCACAACATAAGCAGTCACTAAATGTGTGTTAAGTAAATGAGTGACACCAAATTCATTTTAGTTATAAAAGTAACACAGGAATACTTTTCATTGAGTGTCATTTTTAACTTTTCAAAACATTTTCATATATATTATCTCATTTTATACTCACACAATATTTGACACAAAATTGCAAGTGTACCAAGTCCCTAAAGCTCTTACCTAACCCTCTCTTTGTAAGTAAATGCAGGGGCACCTGGGTGGCTCAGTAGGTTAAGCATCTGACTTCAGCTCAAGTGATGATCTCACAGTTTGTGGGTTTGAGCCCCATGTCAGGCTCTGTGCAAAAAGCTCTGAGCCTGGAGTCTGCTTCAGATTCTGTGTCTCCCTCTGTCTTATATATATATAATACATATAAGTAAGTGCAACAGTCTTGGAAAAGCATTTGGGAAGCAATATTTCTAAGTCTCCATACAAACTTGTGCAGATTGAAGTACCTTTAGAGCCTTCTAAGGAAGACATGTTTTTCCTTCAGGCCTTAATCTAACCACACTGGTGTAACTGGAAGTTGGGTCAGGATACTTAGGCAGGATAAAGGTCGAGGAGTACCAGCTACCAAGTGGAGTGAGAAGCCAGAGGGCTGACAAGATGTATCTCTGAACTGTCAGCTATCCAAATAAATTGGAGATCTGGAATCCAAGATGCTCTGGTAGTTAGTGGTCAGGAGCAGTGCAAGGAATGTGTAAAGAGATGTTTGAGTTTGTATAACAGCCTCAATCCAGAGACTAGCTACGTGGGGATCAGGGGAATGGATTTGGGTAGGTGTTAGCAACGAGTGATTCTCAACTTAGCTAAGAACCTAGGAAACTTAAAAAAATCCTGATGCCTGGTACCACCCCAGGTATTCTTAAATAATTAGTTTGGAGCATAACCTGGGCATGATCTTTTAAAGTCCTGCTTGTGATTAAATGTATAGCCAAGATGAAAATGTGTTAAATAATAAAGAGAGTCCAGTTAAGAAAGTGGCTGGTACCAGGAAAGCTCAACCAATACACTAAGTAGCTGTGCCCATGGGAGGGAGAGCCCAGTATCCGACGAGACTGTACCAGAGGAGTAAAAAGCAGTAGCTACCTAGCTTCAGGGACTGCAGGTGTTAAGGGCCAGAAAAATTCTGTTCCAAAACACTAGATAGAAAATTTGCCCTAATGAAATACTATATGGGATTAACATACTGAAAAGGGAGTATAAATCTTAGTTATAAAAGAGACCCATATGCTGAAACTAAGCTACAGACACACGATTTAAATCCCAGTTAACAGGTGAGGTTTGTGCCTGAGAGCAGAGTGTGCCTGGGTGTGCCTGAGTCCCAGTCTGCTGACTGTGTTTAAGTGGCTCTAGGTGTTGAACTGGCTGGCTGGGAGTCAGGGCCCCAGGTAGTCAGTTCATTCCGTCTCAAGCTCCTGTTCCCTTTTAACAAGATGTGATATAACAGAACACAGTAATCCCTCCACACCTCACAGTGCCGATTTTCCTCAGTGTCCTTTTGGGAGTGGTTCAGTGGAAGAGAGTTGGAATATTCAGTGAGTGGAAGGGAATGCCAAGGTCCTGACAGGAAGGATCTTCATTGAACTAGCATTTTGAAGGGAGGAATCAGTGTTTGTTTCATGCTTAAGAGATTATGTATGAAAAAACCAACCTTAACTTTCAGATTTTTCCAAGAGTTGTTTGGTCAGAGTTTCTACCTCCTTTTGGGATCAACCAGCCCATCTGTTTCCCTTTACTCACTGATAAAGAATGGCAAGAGGTTACTGCTGCACAGACCGAAAGTGAGTCATCAGTTAAGATAGAAACAATAGTCAAATGGTAAAATCTAGTCAAGAAAGTCTCTGGAATCCAGATTAGAGCAGAGAAATTAGTCTGTCCCTGTATCAATGTTTGAGAGATGCTTTTCGTGCATCTAGCAAGGATGAGATCCAAAGTTCCACCCCTAAGACAGAGATAGTGAAAATGAGATTACAGGGGACTACTTTAAAAACCAGTTCAGGCCAGCCACTGCTGAAAATTCTCATTGTGAAAAGAGGAAGGGCTCAGTGCTGTGCCCCTGCTCAGCACTACATTCCTGTAAACTCTAACTAAATGCTATTTGATGATAATCTTTCCATCTTTTATTGACTCTTCCCAGTAAATGATGCTTCATTAATCTTGACTTGACAACTACATTAGAAGTAACTTGATTGGCACAAAGAGCTTTTCTGCAACTGAGACTACAAGGCCAGTTCCAAAGCAGCAATGGGCTCTTGCCAAAATGGCTATACTTACTGACTAAAAGGCAAGTTTTTGGTCAGCAAAACAGGGATTTCCAGGCATAGATCCATCTTATCAGCCTGGTTTGTAGAAAGAACCCTCTCAACGGGGAGACAAATACACTTCAAAAGAAAAACACATGTTAAAAATACCTATTTCACCAAACGTAAATTCTTTAGGATTTTACCATTGACCCAAAGCTACACCTTGATGATAAACAAAACAGTTTCATGAAATGACAGAGATTTCATTTTAGACAAAGTGCTTGGTAAAAGACAGGTCATGAGAGAGTGAGTAACAGCACTGAAATTCAAAAGAGGCTGGTGGTCTGAAGGAATATGCTAGAATGTAAAAAGCAGATTTACAAGGAGGTGCTTAAGGCCCTGATCTTAATGTCACTCAGTCAACATTAATGGCACAGCGCCAAGATGGTCAACATGGTTTAGGACAATGATTCTCAACCCTGATACCCTTTGGAATTGGTGAGCTTTTTAAAAATGCTAATGCCTGGTTACCTCTCCAGTTAATCAAGTTTGAATCTCTGGAGATTGGAGCTGAGCATCTGTAAAACCTCCATATGAATCTAAAGTGAAATAAGCGTGCTGCCCTCTTCATGGGGCAGTCCAAACTTAAAATATTTTAGGGAAATACCAGTATCACAGCACATGCAGAGTGGCTCCAGACTATGAAGGGACAGCAAACTGTGTAGTGTGAGTAAATAGGGATGTTTGGTTTGGAAAGGGAAGTTAGAGTAGACATGTCCTTTCTCTGAATATTGAAAGACTTGCCAGGTGGGGAGGACAAGTTCTTATAGCTGTAACAGGTAGAACCAAGAAATGCTTAGATCCAGACTTTAGTGACATCAAAACAAAATAATATTTCCTACAGTCTTGTCCATGATTGGAATGGACTTCTTGAGGAGGAACACCCCTCCTCCTCCATAGACTATATTTTGCCTTACATAGCTAAATAACGTTGTTAAAACAGATTGTATTCATTTTGATAAAGTAATAAGCTAGTTTCTGACAATATAATAAAGATAAGATGCTGCATTGCAAGCCACTTTTCTAAAAATTGCAAGAAGCTTCAACAAATAGCATTAGCAAAATCATTGACCAATTGTCAATATCAATTTTTCTATGCTGATTAGTGCTAACCCTTTTTTGAAATATTGTTGGTGTCCAGTGGTGATTCTTTTTTTTTTTTTGAATGTTTATTTATTTTTTAGAGAGACAGAGAGAGAGAGAGAGAGAGAGAGAGACAGAGAGAGAGAGAGAGAGAGACAGAGAGAGAGAGAGAGAAAATGAGGAGGGCAGGGGCAGAGAGAGAGGCAGACACAGAATCCAAAGCCAACTCTGAGCTGTCAGCACAGAGCCCAACACGGGGCTCAAACTCACAAACCGTGAGATCATGACCTGAGCAGAAGTTGGACACTTAACCAACTGAGCCACCCAGGCACCCCTCAGTGGTGATTCTTTATATAGTTTTTGTCCAATGGCTATCTCAGCAAATTTACAATTAAAAATTTTTCCATTTGACTTTCTAACAAATTTACATTAAGCAATGATGAGTCTCATGGTTGCTTGAAAACATCTTTTGCTTGCAGAATGTGTTTTTTCATCCACTTGAAATAATTATTAGAGTAGACATACAAACAAATCTACAATTTTAAGCTTGAATCTTGTTTAATTTGATAGCACCTGTCTCAGTTCTATAATTAAAAATTTTTAATTTCCCTTAAAATCTGCCAAAGATAAAAGAATTCTCATACTAGCTCTTAGCATATTGATTGACTAACCATAACTACTGATAGAAAATTATTTTAAATATTATGAGATCTCAGTGATGTTTCAGACAAATAAGGTTTTTTTTTTTTTACATGAATTGTTTTCTTAGTATTTAAAACAATAACAGTTTCCTCCAAATATTAGTATGTGATTCAGACTCCCACATCCTGGACTAAAACAAAAACCCCAAAAGTGATACAATAAAAGGCCTATCCACAGGTGGGACAGCTCTTTGCCTTTGCCAATGAAGAAAAATGCTTCAAAAATATTTTTGCCAGGAAATTATCAAAAATCAAAATTTTGTAAGGGTTCTAAATACACTGGTAAAACCTATTTGCATATTATACCAATTTGAGGTTGCTTTCTGATATCTAAGGCAATAAGTGCATTGCAGAGATACTCTGGAGAACTAGAGGAAGTCAGAATAACTCAGATTAAATTTGGCAAGTGCATTCATTTCAATGTGCATTTGTTCATTATTTTCTATTTTATTTAACTCAATATAATTTTTTCTTCCATTTGTATAGCCAATCAGATTAGATTTTAAATACTATCTTACAGTCAACAAATTATTTATGATTCTTTGGGTCACTGAATGGAGTGTAGATAACTTGCCCACAGAACTATGAGCCTTAATACAGAGTTAACTAGCTGCACAATAGCTTTGGAATCAAGCAGACCAGACCTGGATTTGACCCCTGGCCTTCCTACTTGCTAGCCATAGATGGGGAATTTACTCAACCTATCTGAGCCTCAGTTTCCTCATATGTACAATGGGAAGACCAATACCCATCTTAAAGGGTCATTATTAACATTTAAGAAAATAATTCTGCAAAGTGCTTAGCACAGTGCCCGGCCCATAGAAAGATGGAGATCTTTAAAATGCCAATCCAGCCAAATCAGCAAATTTCACTATCACCTGAGAGATGGTTAAAGAAGTAAATAGCGAAGGCTAAATCTATACATCCCTAGTATGCCCTCTGTGGGATAAAGAGATGATTTAAATGAAATATTTTTGAGAAGCACAAAAATTATTTCTTGATACACCTCTTAGTTTTGGACTTCTTTGTTCTCTTGGATTTAACTATATGAAATTGCCAATATTTGACCATCTGACTCACAAAAACTGTGGTTTCATACAGTCAACCTAATAAATAAATGTTGCATATAAATGAAGATGTGGTCTTGCTCTTCTCATATAGTTTCTATCTAAAATCAGAAATGTAATGTGGCTTTAAAAAAATATGAGGTACAGTATAGGTAGCACTTTTTAGTGCAACCGACCTGACATTAAATCCTAGCTGACCCACTATCCAGTGACTTTTCAAACTCTATAACCTCTCTCACTCTCTGCTTCCTGTTTACAAAATGGAGATATAGCAACATCCGTTTTATATGGCTTCGCTGATGATAAAATGAGAAAACGCATGCTAAAACATTGTGCATAATACATCTTCATGATGGTCTCCATTGACCTATATTCACATTCAAGTTATATAAAGTGATTAACATTGTGGCATGGCTTTTAAGCTTTATTTTTCCTTCTTGGTAGTTTGAGATAATAACGTAATAATTGTGTTTCCTTAACAGAAAAGGTTACAAAATACTGTGATGAGAAAGGGGTTTGGTATAAACATCCTGAGAACAATCGAACCTGGTCCAACTATACTATGTGTAATGCTTTCACTCCTGAGAAACTGAAGGTAGGTTCTATTTCAAATTTCGCTATTGGGTGAGAATGCCATTATTTTTACCTACAAATATATGCATCACTATGAAACACCTGCTACCAAGATGCCAACCTATTTTATAGAAGGAAATCAGATAATGGCCTGTAAGTTTCTAGGGACTCTATGAAGTAGTATTAGAAAAAAATGACATTCTACTTCTTGTTTTGACACCTGGTGTCAAAGAGTTCCCTGAGCATATAGAATCAGGCCATTTATAATGAGGCAAATAGTGTCCATGGGAAAGAGGAAGGGATTCCCCATTCAGACATTAGGCAGCATTTCCAGGGACTCTCTAAGATGTCTCTTCTGTGGGAAAAATTCCAAAATTAGAGATTTTTCCTCAAGCCACAAAGTGACAGTTTCCCCTCTTCCCTGCCCCCAAGATGCCAGTTAGAGTTTTACTATCAGGGCTTGAAGGAACCCTTAGAAAGGGGCTGCCCATCAGCCTGTAGATACAGGTGTGGCAGTTTAGGTTATTTTCAGTGGAACTCCTTTTGTCTTACTGCCTGTTAAATATTTTTAGTATCATCTCTGCTTGGATACATTTAAGCCAATGGGAAAAACCCAGATACTTACTCTTCAAATGCATGAGAAATCTGAAAAAAAAATCACTAAACCCACAATCAGCCTCCTCTTTCCCACTGAGCTGGGAGAAACAGGCAGTATTTAACCACACAGCAGTAGAAACCTTTTGTTTCCTTCAAAGATAGGCCTGCATGCTAAATAATTACTGAGTTGGAAGCTAAAAGCTCATCAGTGCTTCTGTTTGCTACAGTGAAGATTTAGGAGTATAGAAAATTTTCCTTTTATTAAAAACAAAACAACAGCAAAAAACAAACAAGATGAACAGGTAGCCTTGAGACTAGTTGACTAGAGACCAGAAGGACATCTTGTCACAGGCGTAGGCTGGGGGCACCAGCGCTGGTTACTGCTTTACAAATTGCATAGTCGCCTCTGAGAATTAGATGCATGTCTACATCCTAATGGAGAGCTATTTACGTAATAAAGTCTGACTGAGATGACATGTCACCAAGTAAGGAATACCTGAATGAGTGTTAATTATGATTTTACAGGAAAAAACTGTAATCCTGTTAACTCAATTGTTATAAGGAGTACATATCCAAGTAAGTATTTCTTCAGGCTGCCATATTTGACCTTCTCATTCTAGCCACATCTGAGATAGAAAGAAAGGATTTTAAGAGTAAATGTTCCCCTCTGGGCACCTAACATAATGATTGAAATTCTTTGAACAAATCTTCCATCTATATACAGGAAAAAAATTTTTTTTTTTTGTTTTGAAGAAAGAATCTTAGAATTTATTTAAAAAAAAAAAAGCACTTCTCAGTCTTAAGAATGACACCAAGAATGGCAACTAAATTATGAGCTGTTGGTTTAATCTTACACATTTAGACAACTTTATTTCAAAAGAATAAATATTTTTTAAAGTAGTCTGGAGGCAACTGAAAGAAAATCAATTATATAAAATTTTCTTAGAAATAAAAATATACAGAGATAAAAATAAAATAGTGACAGAGGATGGGGCATGAGCATATATATAAATTAAAACCAGTACTTTCAATGACAAGGGGATTCTACATGGTGAACTATTTAAAAGGAAGAACTCTTAGAAAATGCCACTCCTGGTTTTGTCTAGTGGTAAAGTGAAAAAAATAGCCAGAAAATGAATTGGTGGGAGAAAATACAGCAGCTGAGTATCTGTTTTTTTGCAAAGATTCCTAAATACTTCCTAAGAAGGGGCTTATAGGCTATTTTGAAGTCTTTATCATAAGTTCTAGATATAAACCAATGACTCCAACCTTAATTATCATTTCTGCAAAGATAAAAAGCACTCTGTTAGGAGAGTAGTATCAATGAAAATGGCAAATAATATGCAAATGCCCGGTCAAGTGGTGAACAGCCACAATTCAGGAGATGTTGATTAGTTCATTTTGAAATTCAAACTCCTAGAAAAGCAATATTTGTTTCTGTCCAACAATAATGCATTTAACCAAACAAAGGACTCTACATGCTTTGAGAGCCTGTTAGTGGAATCAGTACTTCAATATCAGGCTCTTCACGAGTAAAGTGACAAGAATCAAATGCAGAAGGGTCATGATTTGTACATAAATGCCACATTCTACCAGGAATTAAAAAACTTCACAGAAATTATCCAACTTATTTATACTGCGTTTGTATTGTGTGTTCTATTGATTACTAAGTGGTGTCAGCGTTTGCTTTATGTTTATGTGGTTTGAACTGATATTATTAGGTGAATAGAAATTACAAATTGTTTTATCTCTCTGACTTGAGCTCTGGACCTATATGATATTACACCCATTTTCTTGTGGTTAGTGTTTACCTAGATCATCATCTCCCCATCCTTTTATGTCCAGTATTTCTGTATCCCAGTATTTAATTATGTTTCTTATAAGTAGTATGTAATTATTTTAAAAATCATTTAGTTTGACCAAATTATTTTACAGATTAAAAACTACTGAGATCTAGAGGGGTGAAGTGGCTGACTTATGAGAGTCACACAAAGACTTAATCACTAATACTCTGAGTAAAGAACAGCTCTGATGAATCCAGTCTTACATTCTTCCCACCACATCATGCAAATTCTAGTATAACTGATAATCTTATACTATTTAACCTGTTAAACCCAAATATTATAATTCAATATAATTTCTCTGAAATATGTTATAATTTTAGATTTTTTTTTAAAGGAGAACAATTGTTGAATTACACTTATATTAAAAATAGAAACTATTTTCCCTCCTCTATTATCACTTATTTGCCTGTTTATTTTTATAACTGTTTCATTATTGTTGCTGTTGTTGTTGCAGAACGCATATGTCCTGTACTACTTGGCTATTGTGGGTCATTCTTTGTCGATTTTCACCTTGGTGATTTCGCTGGGGATTTTCGTGTTTTTCAAGTAAGTACCCTCATAGCATCTGCTTTTTATTTTCTTATTTAAGGTACTGAAGTAAATGGTTAACTCTGCAAGAGTTGGGGGAAGGGTGATCTTCTGCAAATCACAAGAGAAATGAACCACCAAGAGTCATGAAGTAGCAAGGAAAATAAAATTAATTAAAACCATTTTTAATCCTATCTCTGAGAAAAATAAGGTGGAATCGTATAATTCTCAAAGGCAATATGCCTTTCCCAAAATGAAACAGTCCTGTGAGCCCATAGGTATCCTGTTAACATGTTAAAGGCTCCACTTACCATTGCTAAGGTTGCAGGAAGTATTGAGGAGAGGCTCTTCTTCCTTCTTTTACCCCCATCCTAAAATATGGAGGTCATGGCCAGAAGTTCAAATGCATCTTGCCTAATTATGAGCTGTATCACAGGTGGGTTTGGCCGGTGGAGAAGTGTGGCTACTGAGGCCATGATAGTGTTTAGTCAGAGAAGGAAGGTAAGGCTCCCTTCTGGCCTTGACTCACTCATCCAAGACCAAGGAGAATCTCTGGAAGAAGAGTCAAGTGTCAGTATTTTGCCCTTGCAAACCTGGCATCATCCACCACAGTTACCTCCTAAGACACTGTGAGGAGTAAAATCCCAATGAGGTTTCTATTCCAAGGCTGTGTCTATGTACTTGATTGCATTGTATATGACAAAACATTGGTATAACTACTGATTTTGTATTAATGGAGAATTTGAAACTTTAAATCTGTTTTTTTCAGGAATGACTTCCTAATGCATGTGAGATAGTAACGAAAGTTAAAGTCAGTTCTAGAAACATCCTAAATTTAGTGTAGTTCCTTTAAATCAAAGGCAGGAGGCGCTACGTTACCCTTTCATGAGAATTCTAATTTCTACATTACAGGGCTGTCTCCTTCAACTAATACTTTTTTTAGTTGCAGTGGTATTATATAAATGGTAAAAAAAAAGCTCCTTCATAGGCTCAGACTACAAATAATCCTCCACACTTTACAGATGTGATTATGTAACTAAATATACAGTGATTCATATATAGTATAACAGAATCTTAATTTGATTTTTGTTAAAATATTATCATGATAATACTAAAGAAGCCTAACCCAATGGGGGAATCACCTGTAAACACACCCTTAACACAACTACTATTATTTTTTTCCTTGATCCTTTTTAATCTTTGCCTTTATCTTATACCATTATCATATTATGTCTATATCTTATATAGTCAAGATTCTTATTCTGACAAAGGAACGTAATTGAATAGCAATTTCTTGTTAACTGCATAATAATAATTAAATAATAAATAAATAATAAATTAAATAAACAGAATGAGCTCTTTCCATATATGGTTTAACAGGAGAAAGATATAAACAAAGCAATAAGACATAAGGGATCAATTACTAGAATTAGAATAGAAGAGTATTTTCAATTATAATGATCAGAATACAACAGAGTAAACACACAGCATGATTAATCTTGGAATGTCTATTCATTTTTCAACTGCACTTGACCACGGTGAATAAATACATCATCATGGCTCCCATAGAACTTTGATTAAAAAGTCTGTCACTAAAAGTCTCACCTTTAAAATGTTTAATGTAACCATAAAAAATTGAAAGAAAAAGCCCCCAAGTTTGTAATGGTGAAACTAATAAGTGTATTCAGGAGTTTAAAGATAAAAAATGTCCAGGGAACATTTCTTACTTCTCTATTTCTCCAGTCACTTAAATAAGTGATAGGATGTGAGAGCCAAATCAGCAAAGAAAATAGCAGTATTCTTTCAACACTCATTGCTGTATTAAGCCACTGAAGATGGGCGTTTAAAAGTACAGCACATAAGTAAAGTAAAATACTTCTCAACTCCAGTTAGACCCAGAACACAATTAATCTCGCTGAACCCATGAGAGAATTTGGGGGCAGATTGATTAGAAAGCACCTAATATTGTCCTACGATCTCTCAGTTCCAAAAGCCTACCAAACAGCAACTTTAATCTTGGGAGGAAAACCAGCTCTTATGGATTTATAATCTGAATGCGATAATGGGGAGACATAAACCGAAATAGCTTGCTCTCCAAAGCACATACAACAAGAGACAAATAGGATATGAAAAACACACATGCTGCGATATCAAATATTCAGATCTAAAAGCAGTCACACATGATTTTTATACTTGTTCTTAAT